TTTGTCATCCCCTACTATCACTAAAATTAGGGTGCCGATTCGTTTTTTCCCTCGCGCTTTGTCAGTAGCTAATAAAATATCCCCATCAATAGATTTTTTTAATAAAATTTTTTGTAATCAAAATATGTAAGTTTCCGTTCATGTAATTTGTCAACTGTATTATACCTTACATTCAAAGGGCTCAAGCCCGTAAAATCAATCAATCAATAAATAAATAAATAAATAAATATAAACCTATATAATTATATAACACGGTATAAAACGACAATACAAAATAATTACCATAAATGTGTGTATAGTAAATAATAATATATTGAGTTGTGGGAAAAAATGAAATACAGATACATTGTAATTGTTGTGTCGAAAAAATAACAGTGGTTCCCGTTGTATTTTAGTAGTTCGACGTGATTATTTTAACTTTAATGCGTTTTTAGTTATTTATTTATTTAGTTGATGAAACCGTTAAAAATCATTATACAGTGATATATTATAAGTATCTCACTTCGTCACCAAATAAATCATAGGTACTTACCTACAACTTGCCTATGTTGCATACTGGTATTACGAGGAGTCTCACTTCTATGTATTAATCAATTTAATCGATATCGAATTAGCGTTAAAACGGTTTGAAATTAAACCGTTTTGAAATTAAGACCCATAACGTCATGTAAACACTTAAAAACGGTTTAAAAAATGTAAACCGTTTTAAAAGTTAAAACGCTCGCGCCATGTAGTTTAAGAATTTAAAACCGTTTTATATGCTCAAACCGGATTATTAAATGTACATATAAACGCGGGATATGTTTTGCATTAATACGTTTATCACAATTATTGTGATTCATGTTATCAGTTATCACTTATCAGATTTTGTTTTTATATATTTATTATTTAACTATATTAATTTTTATATATTATTATTTGTACAACTTAATAATAATTTAATAAGAACACAATAAATGCAAAATTATAAATTTATTATGAAAATATATTATGAATCAATATATTACTTATCAGATATCCTCCTGGAACAAACGACCAAAGTCATGAAGTAAAAATATTAATTTTAAAACGGTTTATAAAATATTAGCTAAACCGATTTAGTATATATTTGTATATAAACATCTAAAATTGGTTTAAGCTAAACTGTTTTAAATAATTTTAAAACGGTTAAATTTTAAACTGTTTTAACGCTATCATATAAACGTAGTATATGTTATAATCAATGGTTTAACAATGATAGTTTAGAATTTCATTCAGAATATTGACAAATCTTCTACGTATTTTTTTCGTTGCACCTATTACACAAGTGTAGGAAGCTAAAGTTGTTTTACTAGCATATACAATAGAGTTATTAATGTTAAATTAAGGTTGATAACTTGAGATTTCAAGTTATTTTAGAGCATACCAAAAATCAAATTGCTTATGATTTCGATTTTATTTCTTCGATTTTCAGTTATAAACCGTTCTTGACAATATTTTTTTTTTTTTTGCAAAACTCAAGCCAATAAAAATTAAAAATAAATAATCAACTCTGAATAAGTTTCAACATACTCAAATGTATTTTAAAATTACTTGTTATTCCACTAGATCGATGGAACGATAGAAATAGAATACGGCTTACTTAACTTTAATTACTTAACTAATCGAAAGTTGATTGTAATAAAGTTCATTTCGATTATTTACATGAATAATATATGTGTTTGGGTATCGAACAATATTAAATATAATAATTTTCTCGTATTCTATAAAACAGTTTAACATTTGAAATCAGAGGTGGACTGACCAGGGAAGCAAAAGAGCGATCGACTCCTGGTTCCTCGATAGTGTTATATTAATTACCCGGATACAAAATGTAATATTAAAAATTAATGGTAAAACACTAATCATTTACTATTAGAATATCCAAATTTGGGCGAAATTAACTAAAAATATTTATTAATTAAAATTTAATAATAATAGGTTCAGTTGAACCCTCCCCCCGGGCCCCTCAATACCCAGTCAACCATCGTTTGAAGTATTATCAATAGCCTTTTCGATATCTTTTGTTGAGTTTAGTGCCAATCCTTATTGAGATTTTACAGTGGTCAAAATTTAGTTTTTTGTAAGGATAGCTGTACGATAGTTTAACCACTTATGAAATGCAAAGAAAAAAATTAAAAATGTATATTATTTCGATTTAGAGACTGTTTCTGGTCTTTTATTTTTCTTTTGTTATTTTATGTTTTGAACGCCATTCTTTTATAATAGTCTAGAAAATATATGAGCATTGTATTGTTTTCAAGTCAAATATCCATGATTGTTTCTAGAATAATCAATACAAATTCCTAAATCAGTGAACTAAAATTTATGAATTGAGTGATTATTATAATCTATAACATATATTACTGTGCACATACATGTATAACAAAAATAAAAATTAATTTGTTTTTTTTTTTGTTTTTATATTTTGTAATGAGTTGGAAACAAAAAATAGTTTGAAATATATAAAAAAACATAATTTTTAGTAAAAAAAAAAAAAAAATGGAAAACATTACTTTTATATTATTCACTTTATAACATGTTTTCAAAGTAAAATCATTTTGCTATCAGAGTTGATATTATAAAATATGCATTTATAATAATTAATCTTAAAATTGTTCACGATGAATACAAAATGTGTGTGCATAATGCATAATGCATGATATAATATTGTTAGCGCAAGATTTAAAATTAGACTGACTTAACATATATTTAAAACTTAAACAGAATACAAACAATGAAACACATCAATTCAGTATGAATACAGCTAAAACAATAAATATTTGTTAATCAACAGTGTTCTTTTTGGCTCAAACCCAAAAAAGGCAAAAATAATAATAATAATACAATAATTGTTTAAAAAAAACGAAGTCCAACGTATATTTAGAGGAACTTTAAGACGTCGCACAAATCGATGCGTGTTAAGTACAACGGAAAACAGTTTTGGTTATCGTACACCGAATGGTGATCTCAGTGTAATAACCATGATACCGCAACGGTACCGATATAACATTATTTCCACGGGATTCTTTCGAAATTCCATTTTTGACTAGCATGATTGGCGCAGCCTTTGAGCACAATGCTGGATTCGCCTGCTGGCAAGTCCAAGCACAGGTTAGAATGTAAATGAACTAAGTTCATGGTCTGTAAAGGATTGAAAAAATTATTATTAACACATTGTTGTTGTTACTCGTAATACCCGTACTGCAAGTTGCAACAAAATCATAAGTACATCGTATTGCCTAATACCGTGTCGACGGGGTAGTGGTAAACGGATTATTGTTGTTATTGAAAAAAAGTCGAAAACGTTTTCAGTTTTCTTTTGAAAATAAAAAATACTATTGGAGTCTGACTGAAAAAAAATTAAATTTGATGTTTTAGATGTTTTTGTTCTATTTTTTTTTTTATAAGGAATTGTTTTTTTAGAAATCGTCACCAGAAACAATTATTGGATTAGATTTCAAACATGTTATTATTGATATAACTATTGTTTCTCAGTTATTATTTTGTCGGTAGCCAAAACCAATTCAATTGAGTAGAATTGTAAAAAAAAAATCTTTTTTTCTAAAATAACCTAATACTATGTTTTTACATGAAATATTGTTTACGATTCGCAGCACGTTTCTCAAGAAAATCCTCCCTATAGGCACAATACTACGACTGCATTCATATAATTATACTCATTGTCCCAATGCACTCACATCGGCGTCGTACTTCCAGCGCTGTCGCTTTTGACCCGTACAGGCCACAATCCGGACCTTTAGCGCAATGTCATCGGCTAGTTCCAGCTCAGGCGTGTCTAGGCATACCGACTCGTCGGTCATTAAAGATCCGGACCACACGCTGGAATCGATACCCTCTTCGGGAGCCATGACGAACATGAGGGACAACGAAGGACGACCCTGGACGTCACAGGAGCTAATCCTGACCGGACCCATGGGCTGGTTCAACGAGCCACGTCCTGTGGGTTTTTCCAAACAGCGATTGGACAACATATGTTTTATCTGAAACAGAGAGAAAAATAATAATAAATTATTAAAATAAATAATTAATATAAATAATTAATTGGGGACAATGCAATGAACATTTTGTGTACCAGAATTTAGTTCATAAATTAAAAATGACATTATTCTATATGTCAATCGTATTTGTGTTTTATTTTTAAATTGTATAACACTTTTTACAGTTTCACCCATTGACGAAAAATCTAATTTTAAGAGCACATCATCTAAATAAACATAGTAATATCATGATTAAACATTTAAACTCAAAAAACGGGTAGAGGGTTGAGTTATATGTGCATGGTATAGTGTGAATTTTAAAAAGTGTAAAATGTTCAAATTTACTATCGAAATAGAAGTATACGAATTTCAGAAATGATTTTGACGTAATTAAAATGTATTTTTTTTTTTATCCTGGTTATTGTTCCAATGTAAAACAGACTCATGAAATTGTTATTATGCATAAAATGAGTATGATAAAAAAAAAAAAAAACTTGCTAATTTTACAAAACAACAATGAATGTAAATTCTTTCTCTTGAATTAATTAATTTACAAATTAAATAATCATGATTATTTAAGAATAATTGGAGTTAATAGTATGTATTTTTTTCCAATTTATAATTGGATTTTCATAATATTTTCCTTTTTTTTCGTTCCAATACATAATTCAAATAATTATAGCTTTTTATAATTGGAATAATTATTCTATTATACCTTGTTCGGTATTTTATATTTTATCAAATATTAATTTAAAATGAACATTTTCTAATTGCATTGGAAAAATAATAACGCCTGTGTACGCAAGCAAATCAAAATTATATCGTTATTGTAATTTAATATGTATTAGGATGATTAAAATGTAACTATAAAAATATTTCAAGTAATAAAACATAAATCAATTAATGCAAAATACGAAATCTATTATAATTACTCCAGTTACAGGTGCGTACAATAGTAATTATACGGCACAGTTACATCATTTAGATACGGGAGAAAGTCATTCAAGTAAAATATTTAAGCCGAAAAAATGTTAAAAAGCGCTTTGAAAACATCGTTGGTCATAATTTGTGAACATTGAACGCGATTTAAACCGAATGAAAATCATTCTTACCTTCCCGAAAAACCGCTGATCGGTTGGCAAAAAGTGTTCCGGCCACACGTTTTCTAGATACCATTTGAACCCTTTGCACTTCAGACGGTCCTTGAGCTCCAGCCTGGTTCTTATCTGCTGTTCGTCGCGAAATTTTGCAGCTTCTAAACAGACGGAATTGGATTGAAAAAAAAAAATTAAAAAAATGTAAAAACACCGCTCGCGGGCAACGACCGAAGGACTTACCAGGGTTGAACTTGAAATAGAACTGCTGCCATTCGTCCATCCAGACCAGGGCGACACGTGCTAAGTTCGTGTACAGCACACGGGACACACCGCCGGGAAACGTGTACGGGGACGACTTGCGGAACACGTGGCCGACGTGGGAACACGGAGCTATCTCCACGCTGCCACCACACTGCCACACCTGTACAAGGGTTAGGGTTAGAGCAGGGATTGCAAATAGGATTTTTTAACGTGCCAATTCATGACATGATTAAAAAAAAAAAAAATTCAGCCGTGCCATAATTATTTTTTTTAGCACAGAATGCAAAAGAAAAATTAATGATTATAACGCAGAATGTTATGTAAAAATAGAAATAATGTAAAAAAAAAAATATTAAATTATTATTATTGTTCGTTAGAATACAACGTCTAATCAAAGTGAACACGCACTTCTAGTGAACTAGTGTCCCACAATATTACAACATATAAATTGTATTTTATAATAATAAAGATAATACGCCGTTGTGAAATATATATTATTGGTTTGTGCAATTGATAATTCAATTTATTGTATGTTACTTAAAAATCTATGATATATATATCGACAAATGAAAGTTTTTCGAGTGCCGTCGAAAATCTCATGCGTGCCGACCTTGGCACGCGTGCCACTTATTCTACATCCCTGGGGGTTGAGAGAGACTCGGTCGAACCGCGCCGCGAACGTACCCTGAACGACAGCTCCAGGTTCTCGCCGCCCCACACCTCCATTCGCTCGTCGTAGCCGCCCAGCTCGAAGAAATACGACCGGTCCATGGCGAACAGGCCACCGGCCATCGCGGGCGTGCCGAACGCCTGGGTCGCGTCCCGGCGCTCATCCGGCCGTGGGCGCGTGTACCACCGGAAGTGCAGGTCCCAGTTGAACGCGCCCCAGTGCAGCTCGAAGCTGCGCACGTACGCGAACGTCTCGTCGCTGATGATGTCGATCACGGGGCACACGACGCGTTTCCGGTCCCCGGCCACTCGGCTCACCAGACCTTCTAACCACCCTGGAAACAAAAACCGTCACGATGATCGATCATCAATAACAACAACAACAACCCTCAGACATCTCGTCGTTGAAATAAGAAAAAGCGAAGTTTACTTTGTTCCAAAAACCAAAACAGTCAAATTATTTATGTTATTTACATTTTACAGTTTATTTTATATTTAAGTTAATTGAAAACAAAAATAAAAGTTAAAAAAAACTAAGATTATTTTTATTCACAGATTTTGTTTTGTTTTAATGCTATAAAAATATGTATTAATTAAAGATTAGGCTGTTACCCGAAGTGCATTCGCAGTGCGCATCAAGGAACACCAATATCTCACCACGCGCCTGCCGCGCTCCCATCAGCCGCGCTTTGATAAGACCAACCCTTTTCGGCGAGCGCAAGACACGCGTTGGAACTTGCAGCTTGGCCACGTGATCGTCTAATTCTTTTGCCAAAAAAGCTGAAACATTTTACAACAAGACGTTTCAGATATCGCGTAAAACCATTAATAATAATTTTAATAACATACGATACGCCGCATATGATTCCACTCCCCCCCTCCGATCGTTATAATATTGCCAAACGGCGAAACATTATCGTTTTATCGTCCGAAGACGACATTTTGATTCGTCTGACGAGAGCAGTGCCGAACAAGTAGGTGTACTTTCAAAATTGATCAGTTCTAGAGGATTGAATATCTTAACATTAACGTTAATCCCCGGTAAAAGGATGGTGGAAATAGAAATAGTAGCTCAAAGCAAATAAAGAGGGCTTGGAGGCTAAGACCCCGAAATTACCACCCCCTTCAATAAAGTATTAAATTGCAAGAAATGTTATTTTTTTTATCAGTTTAACAGGGCCCTCCAAACATTTTTTTGGCGCCTATGCTTAACATAAATAATCTTTTATAAAACAATACTATTGATGTAAAACCGTTTTATTTTAGTAAATGTATGTATTACAGAAAATTTTGTAACTTTTTATTTAACAACCCCAACGATGGTTGGGTATATTTTATGAATGATAGTTCAACTCTCAGGAACATACAAGGTTTCAAGAACCGTAAGAATTAAACGGGATCGATTATTCATAACCGTGCTGCAAACTTGTAAGTCGTCCTGAGAATGACTAATGAATCATTTTCGATGTTACAACCGTGGTTCGATTCCTTTCAGAAATTTAACAGTTAATTGCATATTATGAGTAAAATAAAACGTAATACAAGATATGTAATCATAGAAAAAAATAATGAAAAAAAAAACCATAGATAGCACGTGCAATGGATCAGTAGTCCGTTTGAAACGTTTTTTTTTTTTTTTTATAAAATTATACTATCGAAGTATAATGATTTAACATTTAACGTCAGTTTGAGAACATCATAGAGAACTACTTGAAACGTGATCCTCTAAACGTGGCAAGAAAATTGTTTTCGGCGATCAACCACGCACATTGAAATACCTTAGACATCTTGTACAAGCCATTTTAATCAGTTATTAGTTTTATTTTTCGTAGCCTGAGGCGTACCGCTTTCGTTTGTATTTATAAGAAACACCAAAACACCATGATATAGTGAACTCTTACGCCGTGAGCTGTGTATGTTGGCTCCGCAAAGTGGTTATATTCATTTTGATAAATAGTCGGAATGCTTTTGATAGTGCGAGTCACTGGACATGGTTGTATAGAGAGGAAACCTAATGGCGATCATAAAAATACGCTTTATTTTAGCGTACTATTATTCGACTACGTATCATCTATATAATTTATTATTATTATTAAGTACCATTATAACACAGATGAAATAATATGATGTTTAATTTCGATCAGAACCGATAAACGATCTATTTTGAATTATTGGACGTGTGGAATTTACCTTTATGGTAATTTTTGAATTTTTTCTCGCCCGAATATTGAATGTAATAATATACAACTGCTTTGAGCACGAATATCATAATTCAATATACGGTGCTGTAGGTATACCGAGTACAACAACAATTTAAGAAATTTGTTTGTTGAAAAAAAATATATAAATCTTGTCCCGTTTTCCCGTTTGTGTGTTTAATATTATATAATACCGTAATGAATTAGCAATTAATTTTATTTATGTATATATATCTAAAGAACGATTGAGTAATTTATGATAAGGTAAACAAACAAATCGTATAATTATTTAAATACTGCAATAATAGCTCATAGTTTTATTTATTATTATTTTTTCTACGTATAATATTCGCACGGTAAGATGTTGTCAATAATTAATATTATGATGATAGCTCGCTGAAGGCTGGGAATTAAAAAATGTCTACTTAGTTCGAGTGCTGGCATCGTCGACCAGAATGATCTCGTTTAATATCGATCTCGGCGAACGATCTATGACGCTCTGGACCGTTCTCAACAACGTCGACCAGGCCTCGTTGTGGAAAACAATTATTACGGTACTAGACGGAAGCTTATCGATATGAATCTTTTTCAGCCTACACCTGTGCGAAACAAAACATTTATCAATTCACCACCATGTACAACTTCAATTATGCAGACCGCAAACGTTTAAATAAGGATGGCAAAATATAGTTACGATTTTTTACGGACGTTCGGCAGCGACCGGTTCAACGGTATACGATCGCTAGCCATCAGATTGAACCTATTGATCCTGTAGAGTTTTTGCATTTGTGCAGACATATGAGGTGGTATGATGACCGGAGTTCCGTCGCGGCCTTCCTTAGGTTTTGGATCAAACATGTTTCGATTGAGCAGTTCTGCGGAAAAAAAAACCAATCACATAGAAATAGTTAAACAAAGCAGATCGCAGTGAGAATAATGAAAAGACTCATCATATTCCGAAAGAGGAAACACAATACATTAGCACTCTTATTTAGGGAATGGTTATTTAATCACGATAGAAAGAAAAAAACTGTCACGGCCTACGGTTCATTTCACAGTAAAATTACCAGAACCATATAATCGAACTTAAGATCGACGACATGGCTGGTTAGTGTAGTTAAAAACGTTTAAAACTATAGTTTTAAATTTAAACGTGTGTTAAAAATCTGAACGAATCACAATGTTTACGTACAGAAAATGCACTATTATTATTGTTATTTATTTATTTACCATCAGTGAGATTTGCACTTGCCCCTACATTGTTGACGTCTCCCAAATAGTGTCCCACAACCACATGCAATCCTCTGCGATCGATAAACTCTTGTTGGTCTCTTTTCAACCTGCAACAGGCGAAATAATTAATTTAGTGAAACAATTGGCAAAAAATATGAGAGCAAAAAATATTAACTGCCAGTCGCAATCATCTATTTTTCATATAATATTAATAATAATAATAATTATATGAAAAACAACATATTTTTATGAAAAAATACGTTATCATACATCTCATAACTATATGCATTCACCAATCTATTGTTCGACTTCAATTTAATGTCTTCTATGATAGTCACTAAATGAAAAATAATTGCTAAGTATAATGTTTTGATGTTTAACAATACTCGCGTATAATGTATAATTATTTTAACTACACGTCTAAATTATTTCTTATTTACTAATTTTTTAATTCAAATCTACTATTATTATTCTCTGTACACTTATACACAGGTTTTCAGGAAATTAACATATATATATATATATATACATTTACAACGGATAAATATCAAACAAAATGTACATTATTAATAGAAAAAAGTTTTTAAACATTTCAATATAGATACAATTGTAGTAAATATCGAAAGCTTTCGGCCAAAAAATAGTTTTTCTTTTTCCATATACATTATAGGTTATCAACATTATAATAATGTCGCATCTTTGTAAGAAACATACTCGTGTAGTTTGTTTTCGTAAAGAAACATTATTCGAGCACAGATAATTCCCGATACTATTTTATTTTTTCAGAAACCGATTTCGAATCGAAAGATTTTCAATAATTTTACATAGAATTTTCATAATGTATTAATAAGTGTAAAAAGTAACTGCAATAATGATGTTCATAAGCTTTAAAGTTTTTCAACCATCGGCAAGACCTTAAAAGTTATTGACCGCACACACACAATACATCGCGAAACGCGTACAACGCAGAAGAAAAACTGGAGTACGCCTTTGAAAACTTTCACCGAATATAATGTTATAAGCCATTGGATTCCGTTTGATGTGAGCACGTCGGCATCAGTTCCATCTGTCTACAAGTTTTCCATACAAACCGAAATGATTAAAAAAAGAATAAACAGAAATTCTCTGAGTTTTCAATATTTTAAAAATGTACATTTCATTTAACATGCAGACTGTGAAATTTAAAAAATACTGTTAAATAAAATACGTAAAATAATACATACTATATATAATTTTGTACCCTATACATGCGTTTTAATTTTAAATCATGTTTACTTAATCAAACGCAAGCGGCAATAAACTATCAATTTTCTATGCTTAATCATCGGTTTTAATTTGCAATTCGTTTTTTCGTTATTGATCCCACAATTATTCCGTTTCAATACTGTTAGGTTTACGTAATGCGTTTTCTTAGATAATGCCTTGCCTTTATCATTGATTTCGGAACACAGAATGCCCCTTATTATTGAGCGATTGGACTTTGCGAAGAACCATTTGTTGTAATTATGTTCAAAATCGCTATTTTTTTTTTTCTAATGTCAAAAAGATCTTATTGTGAAATATAATATTTTAATGTATGTATTAAGCTTTAATTCGATAAAAGCTACTTACAGAAACCGAGTCCATTTTGTCCACGTCGGGCGGAGTTTTTAGTCTTGTTAACACACGTTAGAATCGAGATCGGACCGTTACTAGGCCATATTAATCAGTGGCCATATTAAGTGTGGAATTTCGTGTATCATATTATGTATTTTATATTATATTTACCACATCAGTTATTATCAAAAAAACAATACTAACTGGTGTGTAAAATACCAGGTGTCTCTACTGTTTTATTTATTTATGTTATAAAATAACCGTTTTGCTCGAATAATTTTCAAACTATTATAGGTAAGTACATTATTATTATCATTATTATTATTATTATTATTATAATTATATTATTATAACTGTTATTAAATGGTCTTGTATCCGCTCAGTTTTTTATCGTATAATACAATTAGGAACGTTCAACCGCGTTTCGAATTAAACTTATTCGATTTTCTACCCATATTTTATATAAATTTGAATTACAGGTATATAGAGATTCTGGAAAAAAATATTTGAACTGTATATACACGAATAGGCGTATACTGGTATGACGCGTCCTACGCCGTCATTTCACTCGAATAACTTTCAAACCGTCGTGGGTAAATATTATTATCATTATTATAATAAACTTTCGCGTTCGTTTGGATTTTTGGATAATACGTATTTGCACGGACGCGACCCATAAAGAGACGTTGGTAGGCGAAGTATACATGAGTGATATGTTCGGTCGTAATTATTACCAAGGATATTAACCCGTCAACACGTCATATTATTCGAAGAGTATAATCATAATATAGTAAATATTATCGTATTGTTTACGTCCGAGTAGTGTACTACAGCCCAGGCCCGCTGTCGTTCCGGTGTACGCGTTAACCACGACTACGATGTTATTATCATTATCATAGCATTAAAAATAACTGAAATATGCGCTATTTTATAACCTAAAAATAATCTTAAAATAAGTGCGATAATGTAACGTAAAAAACACGAAAGTTAGCAAGATAAAAATTTGTTTAAAAAAAAAAAAAAATGTTTTCTTTCGTTCATTATTTAAAAAATTATGTATTTATTGATTTATGAATTGAAAACTCTTTGAAAAATTAAACGGAAATAAAGGACTTTTGTATTATAGTCACAAGACTTTCCTCTACAATTAAATTATAAGATTTATGAAATACGCATAATTATTCAAATTAATGCATATATAAGTGAAAAATAGCACTGAAACTATAGAAATAGAACCATAAAACTAAAATAATATACAAAAACATGATGTGCAAAATTTTGCACTTGAAATCCTTGTAACTAAAAAAAATGTATAACCTCCTCCGTTATTTCAATTAATATTCTATGATTTTAATTATCAAATGCAAGAACCCCTATTATTATTATTATTATTATTATTATTATTATTATTATTATTATTATGACCATACAAATACTGAAATAAATAACTAATATCACAATTCATCATTCAGCCGTTATACATGTTTAACAGCCTAGTCCATCGCAATACGATGGCCACGGGGCCGCGAATGATAGGTGCATTACAATACGCGTTGTTTTCGTTGTGAAATACGGGCGTATTATCATATGATATATAGGAACATAGAAAAAATTGCATAAACTCTAATATTCAGGTCGAATAAATTAAAACACGATGACGCCAATGTCTATTATATATTATAAAATGTATCCCACAAGAATTTAGCCACTGCTATGTCACATAGGATATTTAAATCTCGTATGTAAATCTTATTTTTTCTTTTTTTTCAATATTATTAGCTTTCAATACGGTGAAACAAAATATGATATTATAATGAGAAAACAATTTGAATTAATTTAGTGTCGTTCAGATGATTTTTCGCCTAGATAAAAAACAATTGATCTAGTTAAATAAAAGGTATAAAAATGATTGTGATTTATACACATGCAAATAAAAACAAATAAACAAACAATAAATTATTAATAAACAAATTTGTAAAAATGGCGAGACTCCTAGATCATTTGATATACAAAGTTTGGTAAATGGTATCGCTGTATTGGTCTTTTAAACTTGAAATATATCATTGTTCTCGAAAAAAATAATTCTGAGTAAAAAAGGTAGGCTGGATCGGTTAATATTACTGGTGATAGTTGATATATTAAAATAACTAAAATTCTGAACAAGATACTTATTAAATAATAATAATACAATACTTAACAACGATGATATAAACATGCAATAAAAATGCCAAGTATCTATATTTATTATTTTTTGTTTTGAAGAAAACAAAAATTTGATTTTGTCAAAAACCGATATATCATAAATTCAGCCGTATTTATAAAAATTTCGTCAGTTTTTTGCTACTCGTATTAAGAAAAATATTGGGTAAAAGTATTATCTTTCAGAGTACCAACAAGATAACATTTTTTATCAGAAATCTTTTATGATTGTGATGAACAGAGTAATATCTTTCTCGTCCAAATTATAAATACAGATATATATAAAACACACACACACACACTGACAAAACCATTACATTCATCTTTTTATTCAGAACGTAAAATTTTTTTTTATATTTTAACAATTTCAAACCAATAAAACGCTACACGCAAAGCAAATCGGTTAAATTAATGTTTATTACAATTCTTGTTCGGACCATTTCTACGAAACATCTTGACAAGTATGTTTAGACGAACGAAAATATGTTTACGAACAGGTAACTAGAACGAAGTGTAACTAGTTGAGGTTGAAGATACTCCACTGTTGATTCGACCGCAGAGCATAGAAATAACGAAAACAAGTAGATCCTGCGCAACGACCCGATTAATGTGCACGCGGCTCGCGTGCGAGCATCGTCCTTACGAATCATCGACACGTTCGCGGACAAACGCCCGTTATTTCTCATCCCGTCCGGGAAACACGATCGCGTGTTACATTCTGGTCGTGTCCCTGTCACGACCGAGAACTGGCACGTCGACCCGAAACGGAAACGTCTGCGCCTGAGTGTAGTGCATTTTCAGTTTTGGCAGATCGAAATGGCCGTGCAACAGCTGCTGCCGCGGCCGCTAAACGAGTTCGATGCGCGCAACGCGCGTGTATCGACGTCGCTCCGGCGGGAAAATAACAATGAAATTGCTGTCTTGTGACTCGTTTCACATTGTTGCTTCGTATTGCCACCGCCGCCGTCCCGGTCGTCTTTTGTTCGATCGATTATTTATGTGTGTGTGCGCGCGCGTGTGTGTGTGTGTGTGTGTGTGTGTGTGTGTGTGTATGTGTGCGCGCGTGCAAGTAAAATAAGAGATAGAGGGAGATACAGGAGAGGATAGAGTATACATCAATAATAACAATAATAATATCTGACGGTAAATTATTATCCCTTTATTTTCATCCGCGCATACAGCGGTACGCAACGTCAGAGCAACAGGTTAACGACGACGGGCGGTGGGTAACCGAGGTCATTCGACACATAACAGGTATATGTTTATTATATATATAAATCGTATACACACAGCAGTACAGTATTCTTCCGTG